TGGGCTTTGACCTACAAACCCTTTCCTGTCTTGGCACGTAGTTATTTCCAGAGCTGCTTCCTCCAACTAGAATCAGACCCCTAGGTAAGGTCATCTCAGGAGAAACTCATAAAAGCTACTTCTGGAGAGTAAAGAGGGCTAAGGCACCAGTTCTTTGAAAGACCCTTCCAACGGAAATCAGGCTAACCCCTTCTCTCAGTTAACTTTTTCTACAGAGCACTCATAATTTAGAATTAGCCATCAATGCATATCCTGGTTTAACATGACATTGTATGGTTTGGATCCAGCCTGTTTTGATTGTTTTGTGACATTATGAATTTTGGATGTTTTAAACTAGGTTTACGGGGCTATTTTAATTATTTTCTACAGGTCTTGTAATCTGTGGAGAGTCTGATTGTGGTGGGACATAAATCCAAAAAATAAATTTATAAATATTATTAATAATATATTAAATATATTAATAAATATCCATTGCCCTCTCATCAAAACAAAATTGAGATAAGCACCACAATCCTATATACTAATAACCAACAAAGCGCACAGCCTTAGATATTTCAACAAATACTATATAAGAGTTGTGGAGTCCTTGGGGTTCTCTGAGCTTGGCTGTTTTCTTGCAAATGTTTCATTACCAGGTAACATCTTCAGTGCTAGAATGGAGTGGAGTTTGCTGTTTATATACAGTGGCCTACCCTGCCTATGTTGGTTCCTCCCCAGCCCCCACCCCAAGCTCCTTGACTAGGGTATTGTTTACTGCTGATTGTATGTCTGGTGGTAATCTTGGTGTTAATCTCTGCTTATCTGGGGGATGACTGCTGGTGAGATGTTCTGGTCTTTTGTTTCCTTTCTATTGCCTCTTTTGAATAGTGTGTAGATGCTGTTTATCTTTATCTCTATGTGTCTCTTGATGGCTGCCTTGTGTGAATACCAAGCTTCCAGGAATTCCCTTGCATTTTTGGATTTAGCTTGGTCTAAGATGCTGACAGTTTCCCAGCTGAAACTATTTTCTTCTATTGGTACAATAAGAGTTTTTCCTAAGTTTTTTTTTTCTAAATTCCCAAAGTTTGCAAAGGTAAAAGATTAAAAAACAAAAACAAAACCCAGTCAGAATGGTAAAATAAAGACTTCCTCAACTCCTGATGACCATGTGGGCACCACCATGCAGTTTGTAGTGGTTTGTAATTACCTCTGCCAGGGGGTTTCCCAACTTCCCAGTCTTGCCCTTGTATTCCTTGACTGTCTCCTATTCAAATACTAATTAGGTCCAACCCTGCTTAAATTCCAAGCCCAGAGAAAGTCAACCAGATGATACCATCTGCTGACGAAGTTGGGGGTGATCATGGTGATATGATAGCAATTTCCAAAGAACCGTGCCTGCTTAGCAGATACAGAATGCTGGCTTTCTTCTGGAGAAGGGACAGTTGCAGATTCAAAACAAGAGAACAACAGGAATCAAATAACCTGCCTGGTCAGGAAGTATCCTAACCAAGAGCCCTAATTACTGCAACATTCTGTGACAGTTCCTTCTCCTTCTGTATGAAAATACATCTTAGGAATAGCATCATAGTAGAAAACATACTGCCTGTCACATCCACGTGATATTGGTCTACCAGCGTGCAAGGAACCTACCCGTTGGAGTTGATGAAGTTGGAGCAGGATGACACTGCATGTCACTTGTAGGTGTGCAATCCTGCACCTTCTTCTGTCCAGGGGGGCAGCTGTGGACATAAGAACTGACACTGAAGGACTTGGACACCACTCAGATTGAACTAGCATCCACTGGAATCACTGGGAGCTCCGTCACTATAAGCAGGTAAATGACTGCAACCTTTCCTAAGAGTCTAGGTTATTTGCCAATCTAGAATATTTCCAAGACATACCATAGGTATATACACATAGAAACAAATGCACAGAGAACCAGCCCTTAAGTAAGCAGATGACAGTTGCTACGGTGTCACCATTGCTGGATTGTCTTGTGGCAGTCACTGGAGATTGTTTGTTTTGGATATACCTTCCATTATGCTGCTACAATAGATTGTCAAAAGGAAACTGCCACCAGATGATGGACAGACCAATTTCACCACTCTGTAGAAGCGATTTATTCAAGAAACTGTCAACACGACTACCGGGCCTGAAGTTATTCTCTGAAGCAGAGAATTCTCCACTCTATCTGCTGAGGAAGATCTTTCCAGAGTAGATACAGCAGCCTTTTCAGTTCCGGTGTCATTTCTGAGCCCGGCCTCTTCTTCTTGGCTTCCATAATACCCCCAAAGGTAAATCTGCCCCAAACCACAGCTTCACAAAGTGCCGTTCTGAATCTTAAAGGCTCAGCGTAGCTGCTATGAGGCATCTCCACATCGACCTAGGTCAGTGTTGTCCAAACTTGGCCACTTTAAGATGAGTGGACTTCAACTCCCAGAATTGGGAGAATTCTGGGAGTTGAAGTCCACTC